TGCCCGCCGCTGTCCCGAGCCCCTCATCCGTGTACCCCGCCGGCCCCGGTCCCGGTGCTCCCCGCTGCCCCAAGCCCCTCACCCGTGTAACCCGCCGGCGCCGCTCCCGCCACACGCTCCGTGGCGGCCGCCATCTTCTCTCCGCGAGAGGCGGGCGCGGGGGCCGCCGGGACATGTAGTCTTCAGCCGCGGCGCCGCGCTGCTAATGGCGGCTGCGTGTCCCTCGGGCCGAGCAACACCTGCCGGGCGCAGGGACTCGCCGCATTCCCGAGGGTCGAGTTCACCTTTCCGTAAAAACAGTGTAAAACGCAGGCACTTAAGCCTAGAGAGGCAAATAGATCTTAAAGATATGTAAAAACATTCAAAGACAATTGTTTTTTAAAGACTCTTGTTACTCAGGAAAATTTAAAAAAAATCACCGTTTACAGAGGAACTTGTATTTATGACTGAATGGAAGAGGACTACTCCAAAAATAAGATACTGAAGCAAGACTAATGTACGCAGTGACAAAACATGAAATGATGTGTAGAGTTGACCCAACCAAATATCCAAGTTAATGAACATTATCAGAAGGAATGGTACATGCAGAAGCCATGAAAAGATACCAAACTTGCACATTGTGGTATCACTTCAGAAGTCATCACATTTTTGAAAAAGGAAAAAAAGAAACACCATTACAAATTACCTACCACCTGTCCTGGCCAGTTGTTTCATTTAATTACTAAATTAATGCACATTAATTTAGTGCAGGCAATCAGTATTTCATATGCAAGTTTATAATCTCTATCAGCCCAGGGGAAGAAAAAACAATGAAAAACAAAACAAACAAAAAAAAACCAACCAAAAATATAACCATGCTGCATGAGGGCAAATGTAGAGGATGTGAGGTCAGTGCTATGTAAGCAAATAAGATTAGCATGACAATTGCAGGACAACCAGGAGAAATTGGAGAGCTGCAAGATGAACTACCTGAAAAGGAGTAGGGAGAACTGATTACTCTTTTTTCAGTGCCCAACCAAAGAAGCCATACTATGGTGTATTAGAAGACTAAGATTAACTTTAAAGAGCTGACCAAGAACAGAAGAGCAATGTATACCAAGACATTGCTCTAAGACAAATCATGGAGTGGTGTTTAGAGAATCACTAACATCACCAATTTATAAAAAAATAAAAATATACTGTCATATATCACAGAGCTAGAGAACGGAGCACTAGTTCTTCCAAGGAAGTATTTTAATGTCATCATAAACTCTCACAGATAACCTAAACACAATGCACAATTTAACAGGAAGTTAAAGTGCATCTTGCTGTTTGGCTTTTTAAATGGACACGAATCTCTTAATTTTAAAAAATGCCTGAATCTCCCCATTCTCTCAGAAGGGACAAGAGATGCACTCACAATGCATGTCTTCACATTTCCACAGCTTTCTGCCTGGTTGATAATGAAAGCACCCTACCTTATCTAGAACAGGTACCCTGTTTCAAAGCTGTTATTTTATAAAATTACTTTTTAAATTACTAGGCCGTCAATAACAAATGCTCTTTTTTATTGTGACAAGAGAATTGGAATTAGATGGACACAAACAGCCCGGACTTAGTAGTAAGAGTCAACTGCTAATTTCTATGATCCAGATTAAAAGGCAGATGAGTATCAGTTCTCTCACCCATATGCTCCTCTTGCTCTTTGTCGCATTATCAGTTTTGAAATTTCTGTTCATCTAAAAAACATCCTTAGCTCACTGTTGGAACAACTCCACTTATCTTTAGTTGCTTCACAGCATCTAAAAAGGCTTAGAATTCACCCTCTTTATAACAAACGTTTATTCAGAAACAGGTAATACATTATCTTCCCCAACCCCTAATGTTTCCTCCCCCTTCCCCCCCCTTTTTTTTTTTATTAAAACACGTATTTGGTGGGCAATCTAAAAAAGGAGAACAATAGCTGTCTTAGGTCTCCTCCCCTACAAACATCTGCTGTTCACATGAAGCACCCTACCAATAATGGTGTTCTTGGCTTTCTAACCAAAAAGAGTCTTCCATAAAAACAAGTCCTGCCAAGTCCTCAGTTATTTCCATGGCTAAAAGGGTGAGAGAGAGGAATAGTTTGCATGAGCCAGATAGAGCAAAGAGTTCATACAGAACAAGAAAGCAAAAGAAACATAAGAGTTGACCAAGAAAAGGAACTTGGACCTATGAGAGGTACTCAGCAGAGCTGAACAGAATGGATTAGGTTAGTCTCCTAGCTAGCAGGATTCAAGTTCAAATCCCAACCAGATTCTGGAAAATGCTCTCAGCTTCCCTCTCTTACACAATCTGAACAAACACAAATAAGTGAAGCTATTGGTACTTTCAACATCCAAGGCAACAATGCCGTACAAAGGATGGGAAGCACTGGAAGTGCCACCTGGTGGCCTGTCACAGACACTTACTGGCCCATAGCACATCCTCACGGTTCTGCACAGGACTTGACACTCCTCTCCTGTGTTCCTTACAGAGTGCTAACTGCTCTCTGCTCCAAAACCTCTCTCTGAAGCCATAACTGCAGCAATCATCCTTCAAATCCAGGTATGTCAGCAGCATGCCCACAGAGCAGCCAAACACTGCCCAAGTGGCATCTCTCAAAGAAGCAAGTTCTCAGACAAAAAATAAGACTGCTTCAGGGGTAAAGGGTCCCATGTCCTCCCTTTTTATAGGAGACTGGGTGAGTTAGAAGGTAAGAACAAAATTAATGTCCCTGCATCAGCAGGAGGATGCAATACAGTCTAATGGGAGAGAAATATCTGCATTTCTTCTAGCTCTGAACACAACTGGTTCTTAATTTTTCAGTCCAGAAAGAGGAGAGTAACAGAACCTGACCTTACAGAGCAAATATATTCATTGTAAAAATGCCAGTACAACCCCACAGCACTACCAGAGTTGAAAGCTCCCTTCCCACAGCACAATGGCTGGTGCACTTGTGCATATGTCCTTTCTGCCCAAGGCCTCTGTTGGCTGGCATACACAACAGGAAGCTTGGTTTTTCACACTTCTTCTCAACGTCTCAGCTGCTGAGCAGGAACATGTCCAACAGCCAGAATGAAGTGGTATGCCACCAAATGCATACAAATCAAAGATGCAAGATGGTGCTTCCTGTACGGAGCCCAACCTGACTTTGTACCCAGTGCAGCAACTTCAGAAACAACGTGGTGTTCTTGCCTGTGGACAATCAAGGGGATGCACCTTTCAGTTAAAGGTCAGTCAGAAGAAAAGAGGAGGAGATCACCACTCCTTCCCTCAAAGTCTATGTGCACTTTTAATGGCCACTGGAGGCTTTGGAGTAAAGGATGGAGTTACATGGTATATGCTTGGTAATACATTACTGGCAGAAGGGGGAAGTTATTCGTTTGGAGAAAAAAAACATGGAAGAAAACTCCAACTATGAAAACAGAAAGTACACACACAAGAGGAAACACTATCATACAGTAAAGTAGCGATCATAGAAAACAAAAAATTTCAAGGCAGGCAAATGCAAATAACATCTGCACTCCTGCACTTTCCCCACCCCCCAACTTATATGAGTTTTCCAGTCCACTGCTTGCTCCTGCTTCTCAGAGTTTAATTTTAAATTCTGTGGGCTGCACAGAGGCAGAGACCCCTGAGGATTTGAAGAGTGCCTTCAAGATAGTGTCAGGGTCCACTTCAGCTGGGGGATTTGAGGAGGTGCTTGCACTTGACCGGCGTGGTTCCCCTTCCTTCTTCACTGAAGGGGTATCGCTCAATCGGCTGGAGGATAAAAAACAAGCAGTATTTAACCTCTCATTATGGAATAAAATTTAACACTATGTCTACATTTACTGTTATCAGTGTTGACCCATACCAATACTAGAGGTAAAGGTTTTAAATACGCTTTCCTCACAAGAAAGCATCATCTCAGACTATTTTTGAACCTCAGGGCTGAGAGCAGTATGTGGTCAACCTATATTGCACTCAGCTCAACATACTGTGCCACAGAAAGGAAGAGAAGGAAAATATTCATGGGACAACAATTCTCAAAACAGAATTTGCAGAAGTGTTTGGTTCTTTTCCCCACCCGAAGGACACTTACAGCAATATAGACTGGTCTGAGGTGATGACATTCCCATTCATATGAAGATTGCATTTCATTGGCTGACCTAAATCAAAAAGTCATTCTATCAGAATTGGGGTAAGGCCAGATCCTTGAAATACCACACAACAGTGCAGGCAATAGAGTTCCACATACAGGGGAAACATGAGAAAGAACAGCTGATAAATCTTTTGTTGCAAAATCAGAGCAAGAGAAAAGCCACCAAAACGCTCAGTACAATATGAAGGATCACACTAATTAAGAAATTACACAGAGGTACAAAGCCCTTAGCAGAGACACAAGAGGATTTCCTGTTCTTAGCTGTCTGCTCCTCATCTGACACTCATAACATGTCATTCATCTAGACAATGAAAAAGCATCTATTTCCAGCTAAAAATTAACAGCTAATTTCCGTCTAACACAACATTGCAGTTAGATCCAGGTTAAAAATCACATTGTTAAATCTTTATGCAGAACCTGATACTGTTTTACAACTCCAATTCAAAATGTCTCTGACGACACCCTGAGACTATTGCAATTAGTTTTACTTGCACTTTGCAAACAGCTTTTCTGCAAGCAAGTAAAGCCTTGCTAAGGACTATCTAGCTCTTGGTACCAGATTAGAAACAAAATAAATTTCATCTGGAAGTTAGATCAGCAGACTCGCCAGGACCCTGCCTCCAGCTCTGAGCATTCTTTTTCTATGAAAATGTGGGTGGGTTTTTTTATTTCACTTAAATAAACTGTGCATATATTCAGCTAGTTACACGGGAATGTATTATATTATCTAGCTCTTGAACTTATTTTCTAGCATTCCTTCTGTCTTGGTAGCAATAGGAACATCTGAGATGCTTTGAAAATTTCCACTGAGGTGGAGAAGTAATTATTGATTTATTTACCCTAATTTCAACTCTAGCATCAAACTTACCATCTAAGCACCTGTTGTTGTACTTCTTATATGCTGCGATAGCATCTTCTTTCTTCACAAATACTACCTCAGCCACTCCAGGGTGCACCAGCCGGGCTCGCTTCAGAGCGCCACACACGCAGAATAACTCCTGAGGGCAGAGAGTTAGTTGTGACCATGGTCACATCAAAGGCACCAAGTGAGAATGGCTTAGTTTCTTAATCACACCACCCATCCTACTCGGAATGACCCGACAGAATCTGGACACTTGTCTTACTGTACTTGTTATGGTATGAGTACTTTGCACTAGTAATAGAGCTTACACAGGCAGAAAAATTCAAGGCCAGTACTCTGTAATGTTTTCCACATAGGAAGACCAGATTCATTCTCAGCCTCATGAGAATGAAAGCCCCTAGATAATCTGGATGGGGGCACAAGTTCAGGGAGAACACCCTGAACATCGTTTGGCATGAACTCTTCTTTTAAGTGATGTCAGGTATCTCAGTACACCCTAGAAATGTGATTTTCTCCTATCTTCTTAAGCACACACTTTTTTAAAAAACGTGAACAAAACATAAAACAATCAGGAACCCTCAAAGTTTTTTGCAAGGAAATTAAACCACATCATACCCCTCTTCATTGCATTCACCATAGATCAACTGATTTATCAAAAAAGGTAGGATAAGGAAAGGAAGTGTCATTCATCCACAGTCCGGCAGTAAGCAACACTCACAACAATGTCTTCCTCTGTGACTCGAGGATGCAGATTATTTACGGTCATCTTTGTGCCTTCCAAAGGACTGAATGCCAGCTGCCAACACAAACAAATGCATCACATAAAAAAGGTCAGAAATACAGCGCACAAGACAGCACAGCATTAAGAAATAGGTAAGGGAATGTCCGGCAATGTCTCTGCATACACACACACACACACAGAGGAGAGAGCTACAGTTCGTAATGGGCAGTATCCATGCTTACAAAAGCCCAGCTCATTCAACGGCAAAAAGCAGCTCCTTTTCCATGCTAATTTCCCTTTGAAGTAACTTTTTGCTCCTATTGCCAAGTATAACAGTAATTTAATCTGCATACATACGCGGTACTCTCATCATGCCCATACTTCTAATAGCGTTTCTCTGTTGCACTCTACACCAGCCAGCAACCCCCAAAATACAGCTCTAGCCCTTCAAGAGGATGCTGAACTCAACATGCCTGGAAATACCTGGTGGGTTACCTGTACCCAACATCAGGCCAATTTGGCAAACCAATTCCAGGCAGGTTGTCTACAAATTGCCTGGGAGGTCTCATGTGTACAGCAAGAAGCTGTATTTGGAAGAATCCTTTTTTCTCCTTGCTAACTGAAGTGGACAGAAGACAACATAGGAAATAGTGTTAAAACACTACTCCTAGGGACATGAAAGCCACCAAGGAGTTTCAAAACAATAACTGCCACCTCCCTGTAATATGGATTCCTCCAGGATCATGTGCTCTTATGTCAGAAAGAAAGGTTGAGAGAATCAAGATGCACTATCTGAGAACTCTCAGTCTCTCAAACTCTGAGGAAAAGGATGTTTAGACTAGTTTCAAATTCTTGGGACATGGATTGCAGCTATCAGAATAACCTTGATGGTGTGTGTCCCAGAAGTAATGGTGAAAGGCAGGCAGAAATGAGCTGCTCAAATGACCGATGAATAGCAAGTTTCAGATGTTTTCGAGACTCCTGTAAAGAGCATCTTCCCCTTCCCGGAGCTCACCTCAACAGGTGCCGGCTCTTTTGGAGGCTCTTCCTTTGTCACTAAGGTCCGAGACATGTTTGTCAAGGCCTTCGTCCGCATAGGAGAGGGAGGTGCAGGTGGAGCTGTGTACGTATCATTTTGGACCACTTTAGTCAGGGGAACAGTCTTGGACAGAGAGAATTTATTGCCGCTCACACCAGTCTACAGGAAGAAAAAAATAAAGTACCTCTGAGAGCTGCAGCCTACAAAAGTCATCACTCTTTTTCAAGCACCACCAGCAGAGTATTACTAGCATGCACTAAGAACTGCATGTCCTTCCCAGTGTCAAAAGCACTACAGTGCTGGAGAGTTTTGGCTCTGAAGAAAAAAAAAAACAGCTAATGCTTCTGGGCATAAACATAAAAAGATATGTTTATCCCAAAAGAGTACTTCCCTCATAAGCCCTTTTTGTTTTCATATTCTTCTTAAATGAACTTTAAAAATGTGATCTGAATTTGAAAAGCTCCTTTCACCCAAAGATTTTCAAGTACTTTACAAAGTGTTCACAAAGATTGCTCATTAACAACAAGATTGAGCAGCCCTGGTACAAACAGCAATAATTCTTCAGAAACACCAAGCTAGGGCACACAACGGCATGAAGCATAACTTCTGCAGTTGGAACTACCTGAGTTTAAAGCCAGACTAAAACCTGTGCTTGGAAGCTGCTCTGAACACCGGAGAGAACAAATTTACTCCTGGAAAAAAAACCCAAAATAACTTGTAAGATTATTTAAAAAACACAAATGGCCAGAAGCTTTATTCTGAATACCCAGGAAATAAACCCAGGGGATAATCATTGCACTACACTGCCTGTGTGATGGTAAAACCGCATGAATTTGCTTCTTCAGGACCACAGAATAACTTAGGGCAAACCTATGTCTAATCCCCATGTCTGAAACAGGGCTAACTTCAAAGACACATCAGATTGGCTCAGGGCCTTATCTGTTAACCACTGCATATCCAAGAATGGCTGTGCCAGCTGCTGACCAATACTGTGAGAATTTCGCCAACTAGAATTTTTTTTGCTGCAGCACATTTTTTGGTTCATTTTCTATAGGGTCACCCCTGAAAATAACCCGGGGTTTTGGCTTTTGCCTTTTCCATGACCACACAGCAAACAGCGAGAGTGGACAGATTTCACTACAGCCTTCTCAGCCTTGAGACACTGCTCTCTCACCCTCTCCTCACACATAATATGTTGCAGCTGTTGTAATAGTTCCAGTCAGTGTCTTTGTATCGCAGTGCCCCAAAATAGGCACAGAATTCCAGGTGCATTCTCAAAATGCCAAACAGGAATAATTACCTTCCTTGACTTGCTGGCTGTGATCTTACTACATCTACATTTGGCCTTTGTTGCTGGAAGGATGCACTACTAACTCATTCTTAGCAGATCACACAGTAGGACCCCCAGGCTCTTTCCTACAAAGCTGCTTTCTAGCCAGTCAGTTCTCAGCTTAAGTTGCAGAGGGTTATCCCCTGCCAAAAGCAGGACCTCACATTTGTCCATACTTGAATTCCACCTTCTCCAGAGCAAGAGTCCTCCCCAACAAGATGCCAACTAAGATTTCATCTGGCAAGAGATTTCCTGCTTTGATGCCCAGTCTCTAGAAGTAGCAGAAAGCTTCTCTTGCTGGTTTGCTCAAACAATAACAAGATAAGTTAAATACACTTCCTCAACAAGAAGGAAGTAAAGAGCCAAGATGTAGCAACCTGCCAACAAGGCAGAAAGCACACATTCTAGCTGCAAAGAGCCCATAAAACCAGCTACCCTAAAAGAACTCTGTTCCAAAAATAACAGCAGAAGCACTGGCACAAAGGAAGGGTGGGGTGAAGAGCAAATATTTGAGGAGAAAGCATCACCTACATACTTTAAAAGACCATAAGCCCTGTAAAGCCAAAGCCTGTGTGTCCATATAATGTGAGCATGGCATGGTGGGGACTGCTCAGATAATCCCTTACCGAATTGTTCAGGAAACTGTTTGTGGTGGTGATTTTCATCTGTTTGCTAGGAAGGGGAGAGACACTCTCATCATCATCTTCCATGTCATACAGACCCTGCAGAGAAGCAAGGTAATAGTTTACAAGATTTAATCTAGACATTTCTAAAATAAGTAGTTTTCCCTTGTCTTCAACCACGTTCAGGTAATGAACATGACTGCATTGGACTTTACTCCTGTCATTGCAGCTCGTGGACACAGAAGGTACACAAGTCCATTTCAAAACATCAGTGTAAAATCTATCAGTCTTCTCCCGAAATTCCACAGCAAAGCTGTTTCCCTAAGTGTGCTGAAATCACATACAGATTCCTCTAATCGCTAGACCTCATTAGGACTGTTGAAACCACATTACTGGAATAAAGCCTCAGCGTCTTAATTTTTAGCACCCTGCTACCTTTAAAGTTGAAGCCTGTGCATATGGTTTTTAATTTGGGGTTTGTTTTTTTTTAATTAAGCAGATGCCTGCTAAATACACCTAAATTGAACATTCCTTTGGAATAGCCTGCTTTCCTCAGCACAGCACATATCCATCTGGTACTACAAAACACTGCACTACAAGGTTTACGGAATAATTAATTTCCCAATTTAACTTAATGCTCATAGCCCTGCCTTAAAATACTGAGGTGAACTCCTACACAAGTATTTTTTTTATAGACTCTAAATAATGTTAAGAAAAAGTCTAGACACAAATGGCACTGCCCAGAACAGAAGAAGTCACAATTCCAAGCAGTTTTCCATTAACTCAGCAGAAAGGTAAAGAAAAACAGTGGGATTAGCAATGAGAGCTTGCAAAATCAGTGGGTTGTCATAGTCAGCAAGATTCTGATTTACAAACAGGGAAGTTGTAGCAGTCACAGAAATGCTATGAAGGAAAAAAACCAAAAGGGATGAGAGAACAGAGGAGAATTGTGCAGGAAATAAAAGAGCTGGGAAAAACACTAGCCATCAGGACAATGGACTTGAGTTTGAGACAAATAAAATGGATTCTAGGCGTACAGGGATAAGGTGAGAATAATGAAGACACTTCCTTAAGTGACAGCATCTGGGATAGGTGAGGGTAGCAGGCCAGCATAAAGGTAACATACACAAAAGCTAAAGTTACCATAATCAAGGCCAAAAAAAAACCCAATCAAAAAAGGACACGATATTGTGAATGTCAGTTTTCCAATACTTCATGTAACACTTTATGTGTATACACACAAAATAACACAAGTAACAGAAACACGTAATTCCTCTCTGAAAACATCCAAGGTAGTAAGGTGGTTGAATGGCTGGGGGCTGTGACAAAGTACCGGAAGAGATGGCACAAATTCTAGGATCTTTCTCAAAATCTGCTTGATAAGGGATATGGCAACTTTGAAACTACATCAGAATACTAGTTAACATCATTCACTATCACGTTTCCAGCAGGTACCCAGAGCTGGGATTTTTTCACAGGAAGGTTATACCTTCTCCCATCTCACTGAAGCACATTTGACCATATACAATCATATCAATTCTCTGAAGTGCTGGCAGCATGGTGAATCAATACAACCAACAACCTGATCTGATGTGGTGTCACTGAGAAATTAACAGAAAGAGAGAGCTAAAGGTCACGGTCTCTAGAGAACAAAACACATCAGCACATACAGGCATATCTACTTCTCATTCACACAACACGCAAGGAAACAAGATCAATTATACTAAATGAAAACCTCAATTACCATGAAAGTATCTTAATCACACAAGAATAGGAAACCAAGCTGATGGAGAATTACCAAACACTTTCCTTTCCTACTTCGAGTTTTCTTTGCACCTGCTAATGTTTATGGACAGATTTCCTTCCCTGCCATAGGTAACAAACAGAGCACAGAGCAGGTACACACCTGTTTGTGTGTGTGGTTGTTCACCACATTGATCCTCATTCCTGCTGGATGAGAGTGTCCAGGAACTGGTGCCTTCTGCTACAGTTAGAGAAAAAGAACCAAAACATTAAATATTACAGTCCCTCAGGTCCCCATTTCAGAAGATCAGAGCTGTTAGTTGATACCTTCTTGCTTTAAAGTATATTACAACAATATGCTCTTAGATATATGCTTCCTGTAATATGTTCAATATGAGAGAGACTCACTTAAATTGAAGAAATTAAAACCTAAGGCCACGCAAAGAAACTGATTCAAATTACTTAGGTTTTAGTCCAAGATAATTGGGAAGGGATAGCCCTGCCAGGCTACATTTCTGCCAATACAAAACCATGAATGGGGTAAATCAGAAAGTAAGCATCTCTTCTTTCATTCTGTAGGCAACCAAACATGAGTATCTCTATTAAACTCAACAAGCTGGGACACAACACAATTCAGTTCCATTTTAAAGGAGAAGCATATACTGCCCCATAACATTACAGCTGGAATAAGCTGTAGTGGAATAAAATCATGCACAGGATAGTGTAGCTGCTCCTTCTGAACCCTTTACAATGCGAAACAGGGACGCCACAACAGAAGCAGTCAGGGAATATAGCTGTTCAATAACTGAAATAGTGCAACAGTGCCCTCAAAAACACCATTTTGTTTTTTGGAAAAGCTGGAAGCTCTCCATCACAGAAAAAAATGGATTTTCTTACAAAGATACTCCACACAGGCAGTAAAATCTTCAGATTTGCATTTTCTCTAGACTGTAACTTACACCATTACACCCTCATGTTTCAATTTGCTAAACAATTCAGAAACAAGGATACCCATCCTACAGAAACAGCAGCAGATCTACAGAAATTCTTTGGGTTTCAAAGACTTCTCCTTGCTTTATGAGAAACAAGACCCCAGGACAGGACATTTAGAGCTGTGTGCTACACCTTGGACCAAGATACTCTAGTCTGACTGCTCAATATTGGGAAGATAGGAGGGTCATGGGTAATTTGGAATTTTAGTGTAAGTATTTTTAAAAATTATTAGATAATTGCTCATGTGCAAGGTTCTGTCTACAGTCTGAATCACCATTATACTCTATAGTATTTTTCCTTGTACTATGTTGTCTAACAAACAGAAAATACCATTGGTCAAACCAAGTCACCAAAAAAAAAAACCAAAAAACAAACGGTCAGAAGAAGCAGCCACTGCACCAAGTCTCTGGAAACTACTTTAACTCCTAGGAACTTTATAGAAAATGTTCAACTCCTAATGGTTGATGGTGGTGATTTGGCTTAGGACAGCAAGAGTACTAATTACCATACTAATTAATGACTACTGAACAGACTGCTCTATTGCTCTGCGATTAGCCCTTCTTACAGCCACAAGAGTCCTTTCTCACGCAGAGCAGCGGGAAACTTCCTAGGCTAATTTACAGAAGAAACATGTTTGATACTCCTGAGCAAAACCCACAGCTGAACAGAAAGCAGACTCATCAAGGCTTTCAAACTGACGAGAATTTTCTATGTGTAAGCACGCTGCTGATTTTGGGGAGGACAAAAATGAAAGAGAGAGGCTAGGAACTTCAGTCCCATGCTTGCAGAGGTGAGGAGCAAAATCTCAAACAACAACCCTGACAGTTTGGAAACTTCTGAGTCTGCCCACAGTACCTAACAGAGTTCAACACCAATTGTTTCTCAAGGAAGCTGGCTAAGAATCAAGTTGCTGCACACATAGCAAAGTGCAATTAGAAAACTGGCCAAGGAAATCAGCAGGTCAGGCTGACCAACTGAGTATAACAGAAATGAAATAAATCTTGAGCCTCAGCAGGAATGCATCATGTAATCAGGCAAATCCCTGGAAATCAGGGCTTTCCTGAAAACCAGACAAGTATAAAAAGAGAAAATTGTAGAAGAGCTCATTGAATTTTAGATCTTCTTAGATACAAACACAGCTGTATATTCTAAACTGTTATCTTACCCCTAGGATAAACCAGTTACCTAGACAGGACATTCCACCACATCAGACTTGCAAAGATGAAAGGTTTAAGGATGACAAAAAAACCTGCACCATTTTCTTTGCATTTAGGTGGGAAAGAGACTACTTAACCATTCAAGGCATCTGCTTTAAAGCTGACAGGAGCACTGCTTTAGTTTTTTTGGTCCCAAAATTAAAGTGTAAATGAAAGGTGTGGTTCTACAAAAAGCCCCAAGCAGCTGCAAGGACACAGAAACAGATCAGAATCCTGCCCCACAGGCTGGAACAAACTGTACCATCGTCGCTTCTACTGTAAACATATGAACATATTAATGTATTAACATGTCTACTGCACTGCTGTAGATTAACTGAGGGGCTCAGAGGTGACTTGCTTCACCTACTTGGATTGTTTTGGTGATTTTCATGGCTAGATTTACTGTCCCCATAGCTGGGCTCACAGCAGCTGGAACGCTCCTTTTTAAGCTGATCTTCTCTCTGGCATCCACCACTTTGGTCACCTTTTCGGCAGCAACACTTTGCTGCTTACGGGAATTCAACATCTCTCGAGCATCCTGCACCTTCCCTTTGATTTTGAACCGAGCGTCCTTTTGAACTAGTTTTTCACGGGCATCTTTAACCCCCAGTTTGTGTCGGGCATCAGTGAGTCCAATCTTCTGTCGGGCATCAAATGTCCTCTGGAAGCTGACAGCTGATGATGATCTATTTAGAAGATTTTGCTGGATTCCAGTGCGAGATCTTACACCTCCAAACACTGGCCTTGTGTTAAGTCTGAGGAGCAAAAAAAAAAAAAAAAGAGAGTTTCAGACATTATGTGATACAGTGTCAATAAAAGTATTTGTGTTGCTGCAAATAAAAGCTTATTATGACCACACAGAAATCCACTCAGATAAATACAAAAGCAGAGTTCCTAAGCTGTTTTATGCTGGATTTTACTTTCTACATAAACAGCTAAGGAACTGATTTCCAAAATCCATCCTTAAGATCACATTTACAAACGATAGGGTCTGACTTCAGCTGTGCTAAGTACATACTATATTTAACCAAAATTCAACAGCTCAGGTACTTTGCAGAAACCTTTAAAGACAAAGAGGAACAGAAACAGACTTTCTAGCCCTAGGACTGAACAGGTCTGCTAAAGTATCTTTTGTAATACAATAATATAGCCCAGTACAAAGGAAACATGGAACTACACCATTTCAAGAATTCTGGGTTGCAAGGTTAGATTTGGGGGAGTACAGCAACTTGGATTTTACGATGGACAAGCACCAGCAACAATCTCAGTTCAAAGCCACCAGTTTCAAGGTTGATTAGCTTCCAGCAAGAATAGTTACCAGTCAAATTACTTTTTAATATGACTGCCTCTTCTTTAATCTACTAACAGAACTACTGCACTCAATGGCCTTTACTTTTTAAACACATCATTATCACAATACTGAGCACAGAAAGATAACAGCCCACAGAAAGGACCATATTTGCACTTGTACACAAGTATTCCTAAGAAGCAGCACAATACGGAGTGAAAGGTAAAACTAGCTTCTTGTTACAGGTCTGATACACTTTTTTCAAAATCTGCCCTAAAAACCAAAACAGCTTATCTGATTTTTTAATCCACTTCCTCTTGTAAGTATTTTTAAGTGTCCTTCTTCTCCATTGGATTTCTTTTTTTTTAAAAAAAGGATGACAAAGTACTAAGAGAAATTTTAAAGTTAAGGTACTAAAAAAATATTCTTGTTGACTTTTTAAAACTCAAAATAAGTTAGAGGGCTACAGTGTTCATCTGCTTTCTGAAATGTGTCATCCAGTACTATAAAGTCTAAAAGTAGGTATCTAGAATTTGTTGTCATACTCAAAAGGTTAACATCACAAAATCAAATGATGATGTTATTTCCACTCTTCATACAGCTTTATATCAGTACTTCCTGATCTAACCCCACAATCTTAACATTATATATATACACATTTACAGTCATGTGTATTCGGTGGAGAGATTTGTAAAATAAAACAAGGAGAGGAAAGACTGAACCTCTGCCTCTGTCTCTTTCATTCTTGTGTCCAGACATCTGGAGAGCTGGGACTGGGGTCCCATTTTGTTACCGAGCTAAGAACCCTATAGCTGCTCTCTCATACAGCCAAAGCACAACAGGTAGAAGAAACAAGAGTATTATTAAGACCATTTATTAAAATATATACAAAATAATACAGAAGACTAAAAATACACATAAAGTAACAGCCACAGAGCAAAACTTCCCTCACAATTTTAAAAAGCATTGACTTAGCTATGTTGAAAGGATTTCTTTAGAGTGCCACAAAGGGCTTGATGAGTGGTTCTTTCTAACTGAGCATGAAAGAGGTCAAAATAAAACAAGAAATACATGTATCAGCATTTAAGACAGCATTAGTTAAAACTGTTAATGACACCAATGAAATTGGTTAGGAAACTCTGTACTGAGGATTACATAATTTCTGAAGACTTGTGTTTATCCTAGTAAACAACTCCCCTCCATAGATAACTGCTTACCCTACAATAGCATTAACTACTTAGGTACTTTGTGCCATAGCACCTGAAATAAAAACGGATCTCAAACATCTAATTCACTTTTCAGAATTCCAAGTTCTCACTTGAATATTTTGTGGATTAGTACATTTCATTGGTTAAGATTTTTCTACCATTTCATCTAGAGCACTGAACAGCATGGATACAAGGATTTCAGTTTACTCAGTTTATCCAGCCTTCACAAAGTCAAGTTTGCTACCTCAGGAATCTATACAGTGAGCTAAACATGACAAACAAGAGAAGTGTAAGGCACAAAAATTCTTACAGTGGGATTATTGTTCAGCAAATAAAAGCAGGAAGAACTCCTGGAAGAAATGAGAGTTAAGGAGGGATTTGAAAAAGGATAAAGTAGGTACTTGGGGCATAGTAAGCAGCCTAAGACTGTTTCAAATATGCAGGATAACACGAATGAAAGTGCAAAGCCAAGGCTTTGTCTAGACTAGGATTTAAATATGTTTGAATGTTTTGCTAGTATGTTAGCAGATAAATTTCAAAATATTACTCGAGACATGTAAGTGTGTATACATTCAGAGTTAAAAAACTAAGAGTAATAAATAAAAAGAGCAACAACAAAAAAAACCCGAACAAAGCAAAAGCATGCTGAGCTAACACAGGTGGGGGAAAATCCACGGACAAAATCTTCAGAAGCATCAAGAGAGTATGGCAAAAGGGAAAATGAAAAGCTACCGAAGGAGATGCCAGGTAAGAACTGCCAGCTGCTGCACTGGAGTAAATGGCCCAGCCTACACCGGCGACAGCTGCTGTACAAAGAATCAAGCTGATCCTGGAGCTGATCTGCAACATGCTCCACATCCACACAAGCATTTCAAACAATCTGTCGGAGCACCATTAGCTACGCTACAGGAACTACAGCCTCCGAGGGTCGGGCAGCGATGCAGGCGAAGCCCTGGCAGTCTCGCCCATCGGCCCCGTCGGTTACGGCTCCCTGAGCACCTCCACCCTCCCGCGGCTCTCCCACAATGCACCGAGCCGCTCCGGGGAGGGCGGGGGGACCGGGCACCTCCGGGCAGTGCCCGGACAACACCTGCGGCCCGGATACCGAGGGGGCTGAGGGGCGCCGACCCCAGTACGGGGAGCAGCGCTGGGTTAGTCGGCGGGGAGGAGCAGGAGGCAGCAGAGACAGCGCAGGGTTGGTGCCGAGACTCCCGAGGGAAAGCAGAAGGGATATGGCGGTGGGTGCCCCTGCCCCGCCGGGGCAGCGCCGGGCTGGGGGCGAGGTGGGGGGGCCGCCCCCGCCCAGCCCTGACCGACGGCCGCCGCCACCAATCGCATCGCGGCGCGGCCCCGCAGCCCAACGGCCGGACCAATGGGAGCTCGAGGGCGGGAGCACGGCCGGGCCGCGCCGAGGCAACTGCGGCCCGCAGCACCCGGACCGGGGCCGCCGGAAAGGAGACGCGAATAACGGCCAGGGGCCGCCAGGCCCGGGGCGCTGCGCCGCCCTCCGACCGCTCACCTCCCCTTCACCGTCACGCCGCGTTTCCGTATGAGCTCGTCCAGAGACAGGTCCGCCATCTTGTGGCGGGGCCCAACGACAAGACGCAGCAAGGAAGCCCCGGAGGTGACACCGTAGGACTTCCGGCCATCACCCCGCCCCCAGAAGCTCGGCGGGCCCCGCCCTCGGCCCCGCCCCGTGCGGCGGAGAGCGCCCACAACCCCCCGCGGCCCCAGAGCCGCTCATTTGCATACGATTCCCGGTGCGGTTCTGCTCGCGGCAGCGGCTCCGTGGTGCAGAAGGGACAGGGACCGCGCAGGAGCTTAAAGGAACCGTCATTAAACTTATTCATTATGAGATAACGTGGGAAGCAGCTCGCCGTGACCTTATAGCTAGCGCGCAGAGGTCTGCCGGCGGAGCGGAGAGTGAGTGTTTATGCCTTAAACTTATGAGTAAGGAAAATAACGACCCGGGGTGACGCCCGGGTCCTCACTGCCAATGTGAGAGGAATTTTTGCGCGGGTACAGGTCGCCCCCGGGTGCCCCGCCTACTTTGCGGGATGCCCGGGTGCCGTGATCTGCCCGACCCTCTGTGGCGCGCGTGCCAAGGACAGAGCTTTTCTTTGATTCAAACTGCAGTGCTTGGGGATACTTTCGGCGCGCCCGTAATGTCATCTGCCCACTGTGCTGCGGTTGGACACTGCCTCCTCAGTCCTCTAGCATGTGGTTACAGGGAATTCGAATTACTTTATAGATCAAAAATAGCTTAACTAGTGTCTCCCTCCCCCTGCTACCTTCACTGATCTGCTTTTAAAGGCCGTTACGAAGCTAAGAAATACATCAACCCACTCCTAATATTTCATGTGTCTGCAGGAAGTGATTCCTTTTCTATGCTTCTGATGGAGGAATTCATGGCTAGGCTTCGCGAACGAAGATTTGGGAAGGGCTCTACCCATTTTTCATGCAAGCGCGTTGGTGGCTAAAAAGGCCAATACGAGAAAGGCAAGTCCGGTTGCAAAAGACACAGCAGAAAGACTCCTTAGATGGTATATTCTGCAAGGTTCGATTCTTTCTGCGTTGTCTTTTCTCCTCAAGAGTGATCCTGCGTGCCTTCTCAAAAGCATCAGCAGCGTTATAAATGGTCTGTCTCCAGGCCTCCCGATTAGAGGCCAGAGTGGACCAGTTATGGTGATCAATATGCCCGAGGCTGAGTTGTTGCTTCAGGGAGTCCTTGTATCTTTTCTTTGGAGCTCCTCTCTTGCGGCAGCCAGTGGCAAGTTCACCATAGAGCAGGATCTTAGGGAGGCGGTGGTCCTTCATCCTAGAGATGTGCCCTGCCCAACGCAGTTGCGTTCTCAGGAGCATGGCCTCAATACTTGTGATTGCTGCCTGTTCGAGAACAGATGTATTGGTCACATAGTCTGACCAATGGATGTTAAGGATTGTACGGAGGCAGCGTTGATGGAAGCGTTCTAGGAGACGCAGGTGGTGGCGGTAGATGACCCATGATTCGGAACCATATAAAAGAGTAGACAGCACTATGGCTCTGTAAACACTGATCTTGGTGCTTTTCTTCAAGTGTTTATTACGCCAAACTCGTTTATGGAGTTTTCCAAAAGCACTGTATGCCTTCGCTAACCTATTGTCTATCTCCCCATCAATCTTACCATCTGAGGAGATGAGGCTGCCTAGGTAATTAAACTGTTGGACTGAATTGAGTTCTGACTGGCCGATGGTGATGTGGGGACGGTGGGGGACTTCCTGAGGTGCAGGCTGATGGAGAACTTCTGTCTTCTTTAAGCTGACTTCCAGCCCAAAGAGCTCAGCAGCCTCTGCAAAGCAGGATGTTAAACGCTGCAGAGCTGCTTCTGTGTGGGCAACAAGGGCGGCGTCATCAGCATAGAGCAGCTCCCGGACAAGATGGTTTAGGGTCTTAGTATGGGCCTTCAGTCGCCTTAGGTTGAATAGGCTTCCATCAGTACGATATCGAATGTAGATACCGTCCTGATCATCGAGGTCTGCCGTGGCCCTTTGAAGCATCATACTGAAAAAGACTGTGAATAGGGTAGGAGCGAGAACGCAGCCTTGTTTCACACCATTCTTTATTAGAAAGGGCTCAGAAAGTGTGTTGCCATATCTGACTTGGCCGTGCTGATCCTCATGAAGTGAGATGATCATTTTAAGGAACTTGGGGGGACAACCTAAACGTTCCAAAATCTGCCAAAGACCTTTTCTGCTCACAGTATCGAAAGCCTTGGTGAGGTCGACAAAGGTTACATAGAGACCTTTGTTCTGTTCCCTACACTTCTCTTGCAGTTGTCTGAGAACAAATATCATGTCTGTGGTGCTCCTGTTGGCTCTGAAGCCACACTGACTTTCAGGTAGAATTTCTTCTGCTATAGCGGGTATTAGTCTGTTCAGGAGTATTCTTGCCAAGATTTTGCCAGCAATGGAGAGCAGAGTAATACCACGGTAATTTGAACAGTCTGATTTAGTACCTTTCTTCTTATACAAGGTGATGATGACTGCATCACGAAGGTCTGAAGGTAGTTCGCCTAGTTCCCAACAGCGCACCACAAGCTCATGAAATTTAGCATGGAGTGCAAGGCCCCCATGTTTCCAGACTTCAGGTGGAATTCCATCAACCCCAGCTGCCTTGCCGATTTTCACCTGCTGTATGGCCTTGAGGGTTTCTCCTAGAGTGGGGGCAGTATCCAATTCGTATTTCACTGGTTGTTGTGTGATGGACTGAATTGCTGAGTCTTGTACTACACGGTTGGTACTGAAAAGAGTCTGAAAGTGTTCAGACCATCTATTCAGAATGGAGGTTTGATCTGTCAGAAGCGTTTGACCATCTGCACTGAGTAGTGGGCTTTGGACTTGGTATGTAGGCCCGTATGCTGTTTTCAGGGCCTCATAGAATCCTTTGTGATCCCCTGTATCTGCACATAGTTGAGTTTTTGCAGCTAGATCGGACCACCATTTGTTCTGGATGTCACGGAATTTCTGTTGGAGCTTGCTGCAAGCAAGACGAAAGGCTGTTTTTCTAGCGTGACAGGAAGGCAGTGCAAGGTGAGCTTGGTGGGCGGTTCTCTTCTTCCTCAACAATTCCTGGATTTCTTGATTATTTTCATCAAACCAGTCCTTGTTCTTCTTGAGGGAGAACCCTAAGGATTCTTCAGAGGATTGCAGGATGCTACTTTTAATATGCTGCCAAATTGTTTCGGGAGAGGAAACTGCAGAATCTGTGGAATGGTTATCAAGCTTAGTTTGAAGGTTTGCCTGGAATCTTTCTCTTACTGTGGCTGATTGGAGATCGTTAACTTGGAGTCTTCTCCTTGGGATACTGCCCCTCTTGGGTTTGAATTTGAGATAAAGGTTGAGTTTACAGCGCACAAGCCGATGGTCTGTTTGACATTCTGCGCTGGGCATCACGCGGGTATGGAGGACATCGCGGACATCTCTCTGTCGCACCAAGACATAATCAATGAGGTGCCAATGCTTAGACCTGGGGTGCATCCAGGTTGTCTTCAGACTATTTTTCTGCTGAAAGATAGTATTGGTGATGGTGAACTGTTGCTCCGCACAGAATTCTAGCAGAAGTCGACCATTATCGTTGCAGTTTCCAACACCATGCTTGCCTAATACTCCTTTCCAGGCTTCAAAATTCTTACCTACTCTGGCGTTGAAATCACCAAGGATAATGATCTTATCATCTGCGGGCACCTTTTGGGTAAGACAGTGCAGGTCAGTGTAAAATTTATCTTTTTCAGCAGGGTCAGCTTGGAGAGTTGGGGCATATATACTGAAGATGACAACGTGTTGCTTGTTGTTTAGTGGAAGGCGTAGGGAGATAATGCGGTCAGAGTGACCTGTCGGCAGATTTTCGAGTTTAGGGACAATGGAGTTTTTGATCATGAAGCCGACACCTGAGAGATGTTTTTCGGTTCTGGGCTTACCTGACCAGAAGAGTGTGTAACCGGCACCATGTTCTCTGAGGCTGCCTTCCTCGTGAAGGCGAACTTCACTGAGAGCAGCAATGTCGATGTTGAGACGACCCAGTTCATGGGCAATTAGGGCAGAACGTCGCTCAGGACGACCACTATTGGCAGAATCGAGCATGGTTCTGATGTTCCAACATGCTAGAGTTAATTTGAGTACACCTTTGGAGGCAGGTGCATGCCTTTGACTTTTGCTCTTTGTGCGACCGCATTGGAAGAAGATGCCCGTCGGTCTGCGGTTAACCAACCGGGTGAAGGTGGAGATGAGCTTTGTTTAGGCCACCTTTTCTAGGCCCCTCTCCGAGTGGAGCAAGCAGTGCTGTCCTTGAAAAGGCTGCTTGGTCGTTCAGGGTGCTGCCCCAAGAGACTCTCATCTCCGTCAGTCTCAAATGACCAATATCCTGAACCGCCTGTATGCAGGGTTGAGTCTGCGGCTCCCAGTGCATCTTTCACCTACCGTTTCGACCCTCGCCCGTCGCTACAGGACTTTTTGCATGTGGGTAAAGCCTTCAAGCCTGCGCAATGGATTTTTTAGGTGAGATGCAGTATGCGCGGAACTGAACCCACCCTTTAATCCTGAGGTTCATCTGCCAGGGCCGAGCAAGCTTGGACGGTGGCAGCGAGGTCCTCAGGACGTAGGTTTGATTAGAGTGACCTTCTCTGAGATGGATGGCCTTCCAGGGCTAAGCGAGCTCCATCTGCCCGGGTTTGGGATGAGAGTTGTCCTTCTCCTAGGATGACTGCCAGAAGGCTAATGAGCTCATCCTGCCCAGGGATGTAGTTTATCTGGTCCTATGGTTTTGACCTGTCTGGCATGGGCGACCCTACCGAAGGCATGAACCCTCGCCAGCATAGCTCGCAACCACACAGGGGTACATAGGCTACGTTCCTGTTAGAACGATTTGGGCAAGTCTTTTATTTCCAGTAACAACCCTTTGTCCTGCCCACTCTTTCAGGTTGTAACAGAGCAAAGCAAATATATCCAGAACATGCCAAACCTGGGCAGTAGCCGCAGGTGAGCCAAAACGAAAGAAATAAATAGACAAACAAACAAACAAACAAACAAACAAACAAACTGACCAACCGTTCTGGCCCCCGTACCTGTCCAAGGCTGAGGTACCTTACAAGGCCCCAGCCTGGCCGGGACCCCCATCAATCAAAAGAACCCTCTGTCCACCCAGACCTT